AAAAGGCCTCCTCTTCCTGAAAGCCTCCATGTTAAATAGTGAATAAGATGTATTCTGATTGGCTGAGAGCTAATTAATGATGACATCATACTGAAACAGTGGAGTGATGGTGGGCCAATGGGGGAGAGAGAACAATCAAGGGTCAGCAGTGTGGAACATAGAAAAAAACACACACAGAACACATACTTGGACGTAACAGTCTCTTTAACTGGTTTCATCCTCTTAGCTTTATGAAACTGCAAGAGCTAATTAGTAGGGTGCATATACACAGAATGTCTAATGTGTGTGATGAAAATAGCTCAGTTCTTATGAACCAAAGATTTACAGACAACTAAATAATGTACATTCAGTTTTGCCATCTAAAGTTTGTTAATGAGAAATAAAGCTATAGGTAAATTAGTGACAATTCACTAAACAGTAGTTCAGGGTCCTCAAGTATGTATATTCCTTTGTTTTATAAAGGTTCTGCCATAAATAACCATTTATCTTCCTCTGTCAAGCTGGGCTTCAAACTACAGTATTAGTATTGAATGAGAATAACTGAAAGCTGTACTACCCTAAGACAAACTATAAAAAAACCTCTGAGTGACTGATATATTGTTGCCAAAAATAAGTTTTATGTGGGAAGTTTACAATAGGCATATTTTATACTGAGGGGAAACAATTTCTTGTTGGAAAGCACTCAATAAATCATCAGGCCACTTATGCTAAATTATCAAATGCTGCAATCAGGAGGTGAAGCAGGTCAATTAATGACAGACGATGACAGTCCATGCAGAATATGGCATATCGTGATCTAAATTCAATTAGACTTGTGCAACAAGGTTGGGCAGCAAATGGAGGTGCCATTCTCTCTGATGAATTAGTATCTATCATAGCTTGGGAGAGCGACTGGCAAGGGATTGTGTTGTTAAATTAGTTCAATTTGGTGGAGGAGTGATGGAATTTGTTGCAATTAATGCACAGTTCTGCACAGAAAGTGTTGTATTGTGAAGTCTTACTATCTTGCACTAGTGTACTGTATGTAGACAACATTTTGCATACAGAAATCCTCCAACTGTTAAAGCTACACTACGTGGCAGACAAAGACATAGTTGATTTCCCATCACAATATGTACACCCACACAGAAACAGGGTTATATGTGCATTCCTTTCTGCACACAATGTTTAAATGTTCACAATTGAACATGAGCCCAAATGAACACTTGTTGGATCATCACGTGTGATTGCACAGATAACAGACCTTCACTGAATTGTTGCAGATCTTGTAGCATCATTGGACGACTCCCCCACAAGTACTTGTAAAATGTCTAGGACAGCTGAGCTTAAAGGACAGCTTCTAAGGTATCAGGGCTCAAAGTTACCCATTACGAGGTATCAGAAATCTGCATATTTTTATGACATCTGTTGTCAACCAGTCCATACCAGTTTATAGTGTAGCTCTTACCTCTGCTTATTGAATTGATAAAACACTTAAATAAAAAAATATATCTGTCACACAAGCTCTTATGTATTGATAAAAAGAATTGTGTGTCTATTGCTTCTCAGTGTAATTAAACAATACATCAAAACAAATAAAATTGTCATTCTTTTTCCAAATTTGAAACTTCAGTCCAATATAGACAATAAAGGCAGTAATCCCTAACATAAAAAATGTGTAATAAAAACACTCCATCTTACCTTGCTTTACAGTGTTTACTACATCGACAAAGTAGTCCTTAATATGATCTTTTGATTGTTTGCAGACCTGTATTCTGAGGAAGGAAGAATGATATAAAAGATATCTTACGACATACAAATAGTTTCTTTATGTTTTCAAAATGTGTTAATAATTTTATTGTACTTAAGCTGGGCAGAGGAGAAAAATTAGCATAAACGTCAGTCTTTGCACCTTGAGACCTTAACTTTATTCATAAAAGAAATGTGAGAGTTCAGACTCATATGGCAACTCAATTAAAACATGAGTAAACACCCAATGATGCAAAAGACCCTTTCTAGCCTTATCACTGTCACAGGCATTCCTTGATGTATATCAGTGTACAACCAAATGAGCTGCTGTTTGGTACCCAAGGTTTCCCATATTATCAGTGGAGATAGTATATTACACTTTTATGACATGCTATTCTTGTTGTCTCAGGTTAGAATATCACTTACGGTATCTAATCGTCTTATGAAAAATTTAATAGACCGCTTCAAGTACATTTCTGGGAAATTGGCAGAAGAAGTTAACATTGTGAAAACTCCAAAAGACTTTTGGGGCAGATTAAGCTATTGTATTATTATATAATATTGTTTTATGTTCTTTCAACTTCACATGGCAAACTTAGGTAATGATTTATTCATTTTTGCAGTCAGTTTTGTGGAATCCATTTCAAAATTATCTTGACGGGCATATTAAGTGAATGAGAATGCAAATCTTAAGCAACAACAAAGAACCACCCAGAACACAGAAAATGAGGATCACTTTGGTCTAAGATTTTTTTTTAACAAAATAGGACACAATTGAATAAAAGAGGATAAAATTTAAGCTTTGTGGCTGCCTCTGAGATTGCCTTGCAGCTGTCTGAGTTTAAAATCTTCTGTTTTTGACGGAATATTGTGGTTTCTCAAAATTTAAGGTGGAATTCTCAGTGTCAACCAGTGGGTTGACAGATATCAACCACACAATGCATCATACAGCAAAAAGTATGTAAAAGATTAATTTTGTGATCCCATTAAACAATGGCAAAAGATACAGATTTCTTAAATATAGGCTGAATTGAAAGATTACATTTAATTTTACTAGGTTATTTTAACATAACTTAATGAACCTGCATTTCCTTTCTAAGGACACCCTTACTAATTAGCTTTTTAAATTGCTCAGTTCAAAGTATGCTTGATTCTGCTCTTAGTTATCCAATGCACTTGTATTTCCTTGTTAAGAAAATCACTGGCTACTTTTCAAGAATCAGATATAAAATGTAACCCTTCTTATATGAAATATGCTTAGAAAAGCATTTTGATCGGGGATTAAATAAATTTTACCTTCAGTTAGCTTTTTTGTGTGACATTCCTTTGAATAAATCCTAGCTTATTTATTATTAGCAAAGATTGTTTTTCAAAGGACAAACATTTGTGCAATCTTCATCAATGTACTGTAAAGCTCATGTTGTGTGGTATCTTTTTCATATAATGCAGTTTGAAAGCTCAGAAATGCCTCCCAAACATTCAAAATGTAACAGCAGTACTTGATGAGTTACTTGTACTAGGCATTGGATCTATATAAAATGTTTTCCTATTTGTAATAATACTGTATAAGGACATTTTCCTTCTTATACCAGAAACAATGAAATCATTTGCAGAGATGATTTCTTAATCCTTTCTGGTTCAGGCACAAAACTTTGCTGTGTCATCTCAAGACTGAAATACAGCTATGTGAGTGTTCCCTCACACCAAAGTTTATCGATGTAAGAGGAGCTCATTATAACACTGCTGATATCAGTCTAGCTAACAAATTAATCAGTTACAATAATATTACATATTTTATCATATAATTGTGATAGGCATCCATTTATTTTCTAACTGATTTATCCAATTCAAGGTCATGGGGGAGCCAGAGCTCTTGGCAAGCAAGAGGCACAAGGCAGGATGTATCCTGGATGGGATGCCAGTCCATCTCGGGGCAAACACAGATACAGACACACACACTGCCACTAGAGACAGTTTTCCTGAAGCTAATTATCCTACCAATACTGCAGGTCTTTGGACTGTGGGAGCAAACTGGAGCACCCGGAGGAAACCCATGCAAACAAAGGGAGAACATACAAACTCCACACAGATAGCACCCGAGGTCTGGAATTGCACTGTGAGGAGGCAGTGCTAACCACTGTGACACCTTGACACTCTGTAATGGGCATTTGTTTAATTAATCCAGTAAAGATCGAATTAACTCAAAAGGAGATGAACTTCAATCAACTAACTTTTACTATTCTATCCCTTTGAACATCTTCTGACTGCCACAGTATTTTAATTTTTAAAGTTTCAGTTCTGAGCCATGTGAGTGAACGATGAGGTACCACTGGTATTATAAGCATGCACAGCAGTTTTGCTAAGGATATTTTACTGCAAAGTGCAGTCATGTCACTCAATAATTTATTCACAATGTTCCAATACTTATCTCTGTAATGCAATGTAATCATAATGCAAGTGGACACTTCTCCTTGAACTCAGGGATCTTCATATAATTAGAGACTCACCTCCAGCTACTTAAGAATCATATTACCAGGACTGTCATGCTAAGACTCCAATCTGCTAGCAATAAATTTGACAAGTCTGATTATGTCTCCTGTAGCACTATAGCAAATTTGATTACCTAAATCACTTGTAGTGGTGGTAAATAATACGACTGACAATCAGAAATTGTCAAAGAGACTCATGTATACATGTTTTTTGCAGCAACAGTTGTCATTTCAGATTAAATTTAATAATCCAAAATAACTTAGTGCACCTGTTCCACATAAAGTACCAGGGGCATGTGAGCGTTCTCATTGGCTATTCCTTTTTTTAGGAATCATTGCCTTTTTCATGGTACATCAGTATTCCTAACACAATGCTTTACATCTTACCTCAGTAGCTAATTGGTTCCACACATAATGTTATTTGTATTTTACCCTATATATCAAATAGGTTTATCTGTGGATGTACAGTATGATGCTGTGGGGAGGGCATTTCTTTAACAAATTTAGCACAGATGAAGAGACACCTTATTGCTCAGAAATACTTCTAAGAAAGTCCTTAAGTCTTTTTCAGTTCCCAGAAACCTATCTGGGTGTGTCAATTTTTCAGCAGGATAATGCAAAAACACTAGTGCTTCTTTTGTCTGATAGAATGAAAGTGGTGGAACATCCCACAGCAGTCAGGCACGCAGGCTGATTAGGTCTAGGAGTCAATGCTGCCAGTGTTGTGACAAAGCTCAGAGAAGTTACATCTGGTACTAACATGTGATGTTTTTATTTTGACAGTGTCACAGAAGCCGGTTCTGACTCCCGTGGAGTGCGTTATTAAAGAGCCTATGCGGACGGTAGAATCTGAAAAAGACAACTGAGGAAGGTACAACAGGGTTAGGATGGGTTGACAGACAGGGGGTGGTGACTGTAGTGATCAGGTGCTTGGGGGAAATGCAGAAGCAACCAAGCCCAAGGAAGTTCAAAAAGGGAAGTCGAGGCACCATCCGTAATCCAAAGGCCGAGAGAGACAAAAACTTAAAAACAGGGACCAGGTCGGACCTGGCACAGGAACAGGAAATAAAAGCATAACGGGACTAGGCGCTCTGAATCCCGGACCCAGATGGTCAGGACGCAGGGGAATAAGGCCTGCCCTCGGGCTACCCGTGAGCCCGGGGAAAAGGCAAGCCTTGTGGCGTCCATCTTTCAATACTGAGCTCAGAACTGCAGAGACGCTAGGCTTTTAACCAAAAGCCAGACGAGACGCACCAGGAAATAATAATATCTAATCATAAAAGAAAGGGGTAGGAGCGCCTTCTAGAGGAGGGATGTGGAACGTAACAGTGTGTCACATTTCTTACTGAAAACCTAAAACTCCTTGATCAGGGATTTTGCTCACATATTTTGTGAGTTTGATAAATGCTGTAGCTTTTACATTACATTTGTCAGAGCTGAGTGTATTTTTGTACATAAGTATTTTTATGTATTTGTATAGATTTATAAGTATATAAGTATGCATCATTAAGAAACACACCGTAGTTCCCCTTAGATTTATAATCTTTTTTACTAGAAATAATACAACATCTGGAGAAAAAATAACTAGTAACTAGTAAATAAACTAGTCAAATTTTAAGGCACAGTGGCTTACAATTGTTGCTGCTTATGGGGAAAAGTCAAGGAAAAATAAAAATTTGTAGCTGCAGAGTACAAAAGAACAATGCCTATAGTATACAATTAATTGAAATGTAACTTAAATGGTTGCAAAATTACAGAATCCGTACTTTTAAGTATGCACAAGGAATTAAATGAGGCAAGTGTTGCATATTAATGTACAATTTGCATTAATAGCTCTGAGCTATATTTTCAATTATTGTACCTGCAATATATAATAATTTAGTTTTCAGTTCATGTTTTGTGTTGTTGACATTTAATTAATTATCAAAACAATTACCTTCAGCTGAAGTAGGGGAGTCAAAATATTCCATTATAATCTTTACAGTTTCTTCTTTTTTCGATTCTCTTGATATATTCTGTTGTGCTATGTGTTGAAAAAAGAATCTGCGCCTTTGGCTGGAAGGTTGCCGGTTTTTATCCCGCAGCCGGCAGAGGAATCCTACTCTGTTTGGCCCTTAACCCCAGCTGCTCCAGGAGCACCATATAAATGGCTGACCCTGCGCTCTGACCTCAAGCTTCTCTCTCCTTGTTTCTGTGCCTGTGTGTCTTATGGAGAGCAAGCTGGGGTATGTGAAAATGAGAAATTCCTAATCCATGAACTTGTACTGTATATGGCCAATAAAGTGATCTTATCTTATCTTGAGTCTTTCACATTCATCTGCGGGAATATAAAAGTTAACCGAGTAGTAACTCTAGTTGGACAAATTTGTACTGCATATATTAAGAGAACTAGAAGAAGTCTCACCCTAGGAAATTGTTCCCTAGAAATAATGACATCCAATGATAAAACGCGTTATGAATGTTTATTTCAAACGTCAGGCAGGTTTGGACATAATCTGATTAGCTGAGGTCCAACCAGCTGACCTGGCCTGACCAAGAGGTAGCTGCAGAGGTGGAGATGGGGTGAAAGAGGGATTCAGAAAGATGCATTTCCTCTAGCTCTGCACTGCCCAGGCATAGTTCACCATCTCCCGGGTCCTGTCGCATGCACTCGTGCTCCACCTTCCTGATGGCCCAGTCGCCAGCGTTCGCTTTCATTGTGCCTGCCCCGGTTAGCAGTCACACTGGTGGAGGTGAGCTCTGTCCAGCCCTCTGGTGGTGGGTGGGTGGGGATGAATGTGAGGAGGAGAACTGCTTGCTGTGATTTTGAAGCCATTTCAAGATGAGACACCAGGGATGATGCAAACAGAAGAAACGAAGGGGATGCCAATTTGCACAGGTTTACATTTCATTAGTTTCCATGTACAGTACAGTGTTTCCATTATGTTATGTGAAAAACAAGCATATCTCATTAGCTTGTTGTGCAGTATAATTGTAGATCAGTTGGAAGAATTTTATATTTAAAGGCCACATAGGGACTACTTTCAGTTTAAAATATGCAATATCCTATCTTGCTGTGTTCATTCATTTTATACAAATTGTTTCAAAACATCTGTATAAATCCACAGTAACAGTGAGCCAAATAAATACGATCCATTCAGCCTTTTCAGCCTTCAATCTGGCCTTCTGCTAGACTTCAAATTGTTCCAACACAGATTAATGAGGACTAACTGTATTAAAACCAGCATGTATTTTACAGTAAGAACATGAGACCAATTTGAGATTTTACAAGATCTTTAAGCATTTAAGAAAGTATATAAAATCCTTTACTAAATATTTAGGGATTTTGCGAACCCAGTTGCAAGTACTTACAGTAGAATATGTATACAAAATGCATTAGACGTAAAAAATGATATATTGAAGCAAAATTATTTTCTGATCTAAATAAGATACATACTTAAACCCCACTGCATAGCTATGGGTGTCTCAATCCTCCAGTAAATAAATTAAATTGAAAATTAGAGTCTGACCATAACAGCTGCTTTTGGCACTAAGGCATACTATACACAATTTTAGGGTCCTATATTTAATAAATGCTTAATTTTCATAGGAATTATAGCCAGAGATATATCAGCCAGCTTTCAGACTATTAAAAAGCCAGTTCTGAATAGTAAAATGAATTATGTTGGATGATGTTCCTATACCTTTGTACATATACTATGTATTATAGTCCTTAATTGCTGTTACAAGTTACACTTGTACATTTCCTTGGCCTGATAATAGCAACAACCTGCTGAGAGGTGATACTGATGGATATCTCTCTGCTGTGAGAATATCACAGTGTGAAAATAATACCAACCATAGAGAAAATTTACTGTAGTGTAAATGGAACTAGAATTGCTTTGATTTTAGATTAACTTCCAATTTGCTTTTTAAATGTAGCCAGAATTAATCTGTTATATACTCCCTGCTGAAGATGGTGTGATTGTTTTTGTTAATGGAAGATTATCCTCATGAGTGTAAAATATACCTTATTATTATTCCAGGCCAGAAAGTAATGTGCAAACGGATAGCCTAGAGCAAAAAGGAATCCCTAGGGTTGATTTTTGCCTCCCAAGTAATAATAAATTATCACACTTTGCTATGAACAGGACTTCCCAATCAATATAGTGAAAATATATTATTACATTCTATGACATATTGTAAAATTGTCTTCTAGATTAGATTGCCTGAAATCTTGCAGTTCAAATTTCAGGAGATACTTAAAAAAACATGATGTACTATATTATTTCAATCATTACTAAAGAGAAATAACCATTATTATATTTTTAATTTCCAAAACTACAAGCCAGGGTGAATTAATTCATTGCTGTATAATGTAGAAGTTTAGAAGGTCTTCAATCCTACAGTAAATGACACTGTAATTCTTTAAGGGCCAGGTATTTCAACTAAAGTCTGTGGTTTTAAGTATTGTACTAGGTTATGAATTTCTTAGATGTTAAAAAATATATAAATTCACATTATATATTAGAGCATTGTACCTTGAATTGTAACATACTGTTTTCAAAGTTTTAAGCTTTTCTAAATGCACCTTGCTCATGAGTCCTGGTCACCAAATGTTCTCAGCATCAGTTTTAATTAGATATCACATGCTACAGTATACAGTATATAGAAAATATAGAAAAGTTGACTATTTACATTTGATGTGGTTCAGTAGATAAATATGGGTCTCTTCCTCGATTTTACACACATTTCCGTGTATCATGTGAAATCCTAGAGAAATTGATCAACTTCCAAAAACAGTTAAACCATTGGTCATTACAGTACTACAGTACTACAGTGTTTTTGTTAAGCTCTACCTTAGTTAAAAATTATAAATTGAAAAAAAATATTACTCCAGTGATGCTGACTGCTGATTTTAATTAATTGATTTCATTGCAGAAATGAAGAAATTAACTTTTATCTTGAGTTTTGTTTTTATGTGAGCGAAGCTGACAAAACTTGTTGTGTGACGAGAAAATTCTGCATTGCTGCAAGTTCTGCTTTGTCAGCTAATTCTGACAGGAATGGTCATATACATTCCATGTTACACAGAAGACATTTCATTTCCAATTACAAACAATTTCCATGCTGAAGTTTAGATGTGGTGGTGAAAAATTTGAATTTTATTATATGTAAATTATTCAGATACATAATTTTCCTTTGACCTCAGAAATCTAATTTGCTTTTTAGGCTTGTTAGTATTTTTCATTGTCTGCCATTTGAAAGGCCTTGGAAAACAAATTAATATAGAAACAAATTAGCATGTATGTGCCTCACATCATACTTGTAAAGTATTTAATTGCTGGATATATTCTTCAAACTCCGATGCAATTTCACCCCTCTTCCATTACTGCTTAGTTGTGATAAAAATGTGCATTTATTAAATATGTCAGGGCAATCCTACTGCCAGGCAACAATTTTATTTTTGACAAAATAAAAGTTTAAACTCTATGAAGTGAATTCTTATTCTAATTATGTGCAAGTCCTTGTGATAGTCACCTATATACTGTAGTGAGCAGCTCAGTCACAATGATATTCGGTTGAGCAGACAAATGGAGCATCTTAATATAAATGTCATGAAGAGTGCTTGGAATTTGTGATGACTCTAGGTTTTGTGTATATCTCTTTGCTGTCTATATAGTGAGACAGGAACGTTGTGCAAGAAGCATTTTTAAAGCTATTTTAGTTTTTCACAATTTTGATTTTCTCTGAATGGCTCTGCATGGCGGGGGTGCAAAATTCTACATCAGCAAGGATGTTCAGTGTAACATAATGATTGCAAAGCTGCTCATTAATTCCTACTTAAAAGCAATTTTGTGGCTGAACAAAGTACTAAGGATTAAAAATCAA